TGCAATTAGGTTTTTCATTGCGCTAAATTTTACTGTTTAGTGGGTAAACCCCTTAGTGTTTCCATACACCTGACCTGTGAGATTTCACATGTACATATTGAAAAATAATACTCCATACTTATAGATAGACTTCATGGAACACTCCAAGTACCATAACCAGTAGAGTGCGATGTAGTGGTTATGGTGTTAATATGTCCCTGGCACTCTCCCGAGGAAGTAGTCAAACCATTTGCGTTTGAAATGTTAAGATGTATGTAAAATATATGTACCATACAGTCATAGCTACAATAATGTCATGATAATAATGTCCTATGTTTACGGAAACTCAATGTAATAAATTAATATTTATGTGGATATTGTAATATAAATTACTAAATATCAACTATGTCATAAAAGGGAGCTGTCAATTTCTAGGACTTTTAATATTGTGTTAAATTAACCCTTATATTTAACAAATATGTGCTTGTGAAAAATGTAATTAAATGTGTAGACATTCATACAATTGTATCTACTCCTATCCTGCAACTAGGTGACTTAGTGCCCATTCAGTCATTGGCATAAGCTCTGTCCTTTGCACTCAGTAGTCAGCATAGACAAAGCATACATAAAAGAGGGGATATGGAATAATATTTCTATTTCTCTTCTACAATTGCAATGTGCCCTGGCTGTGCCTGACATGTACTGGATTGTCATGTTATTTGCTAAGCCTTTTGGGGTTATTGACAGAAGTGAGATTTGCCCAGGAATTTAAAGTGAATTTGAAATTTAAAGGGACACTATAGTCACCAAAAAACCTTTAGCTTAATGAAGAAGTTTGTGTGTACAGATTATGCCCCTACAGGCTAACCGGCCGATTCTCTGTCATTTAGTAGTTTAATCACTTTTTAAGAAGCCTTAGGCGCGCCTCCCTGCATGTAACTTACACAGCATTCCTAAATACTTCCTGTAAAGTCATCTAATGTTTACACTTCCTTTTTTGCAAATTTAGGATTTCTTATCTCATGCTCTGTTAATAGCTTGCTAGACCCTGTATGTAATTAAAGTTCAATTTATAGAACAGGAGATAAAAACTTTTGGAAATTAGAAAATTACCTTAAAAATTAAAGCATTTTTTTCCATGCAGGCTGTGTCAGTCACAGTCAAGGTAGGTGTGGCTAGAGCTGGATAAAGAGAAATAAAAGTGATTTCATTCCTAAATGGCAGTGAATTTAGCAGTGAGACTTCAGAGGCATGATCTATACACCAAAACTGCTTTATAAAGGTAACGTGGTTTTAGTGACTATAGTGTCCCTTTAAGGCCAACATAGCCATACTGGAAACAGCTGCCTATAACTATGAGAATATTTTCAGTTCAGCTAGTTTTGCCTTAAATGTGAAAATTTTTGTTCACTCTGATTTCCTGAAAAGTCTCACCTATTTTTTATATTTTAAAAGAAAACAGAGCATCATATGAAAAAAAAAAGGTTAACACAAGCTTTAGGTATTTTTTTTTTTTTAATTTTGCTATTTCCAGAGAAGTGACGGTTCCCTGTTAATCTTTATTGACCCTATATCAAAGACATATACATACAGTTATCTCTGTTAAGCTTTGAAACATCTATTCTAAAGAAAAGTATGTGTGGGAAAAAAAACAGCAATAAATCGGGTTTATTTTATTATATTTTACATTTTAGTTTACCAAGTCTCTGGTTTAAGTTGCACCAACAAATTATACAGTTCTGGATTTAAAGTGCAAGGGGTATATAATATGTAATTAATGATATCTAGATCAACTGAAACATGGCAGTACCGCAGATTAGAGAGCGCTGTTGGCAAGCTAACATTACAAAATAATAGACTGGTACAGACAAATGCAAATATGCAGAAAAGCCTTGTTACCCTCTGCACACCCACTCATAGGGAGAGGGAGTCCTAGGCTACTTTGCGGTTATTTAGCTGTTCGAGAAGACTAATTTGTAAGTGGACATTGAACAAGTGGTTAGGATTCTAGGAGCTACAAAATCTAGTGCATTCTGTTTAACAAATGCAGGTATTTCTATATAATGAACCCCTTTGTGACCGCAAAAAACGGTCGTCAACGACCTCGGACGTACCTGGTACATCCGCAGCAAATGTGAGCGCTGGAAGCGATCATGATCACTGCCTGAACTGAAAGGCGGTCCCCCTGCTGGTGAAAAAACTTTTAAAAAAAGTTTTAAAATAAAAGAATGTTAATTTAAAAAAAAAAAAAAAAAATATATATATATATATATATATATCTTATATATAATGTCATACTAAGTGTATTTTTATTAATATATACATATATTAATAACAAAATACACTTAGAGTAAAATTACACACGTATATATAATATATATAATAACTATATATTGTGTGTGTGTGTGTATATATATATATATATATATATATATACATTATAAAAAATTAATAATTAAAAATAAATAAAAAAATGTTTAAATATTTTTACAAAAAATTATAGATATATATGTAATTTTATTCTAACTGTATTTTGATATTAATATATATATATTTATATCAAAATACACTTAGAATGAAATTATACCCTGATATGGCACTTACCACTATCGTACTGTTGCCCAAACCAGAAAAGGATCCGCTCCAACCAGTAAATTATAGGCCTATATCGTTAATTAATCATGACCTAAAGATCTTAGCGAGAATACAAGTGGATAGATTGAACCCGATGCTGAACTCGCTCATACATGCGGACCAAGTCGGGTTCATCCAAGGTAGGCAACTGTTTGAGAACACCAGGAGGAATATCGACTTGATTTGGAAACAAGTGGCCACTAGAACAACTTCCCTGGTAGTCTCTATTGACGCAGAGAAGGCCTTCGATAGGGTCAAATGACAGTTCCTGTTTTCGGTGATGATACACATAGGCTTTCCAGAGGAATACATGAGGATTACAAGAGCAATGTATCACAACGTACGGGCCCAGGTTCAGGTACCGGGGGCCCCACTGAAGCCATTTAGGCTATATAACGGAACCAGACAGGGGTGCCCACTTTCCTCCCTTCTCTTCGTCTTGTCGATGGAACCCCTGCTACAAGCGATCTGTAGGTACCCGGACATCAGAGGAGTTAGAGTAGGCTATGCAGAGTTCACAGTCTCGGCTTACGCGGACGACGTCCTCCTGACCATTATGAACCCGAACAAATCGATGTCCAGCGCAGAAATCCAGCGCTATGCCAATCGGTTTAACAGCGGCTGATGCAGCCCAGATAAGGGACACCTATAAAATTCGGATGGAAACGGAATCCTTAAAATATCTAGGTATCCACCTAACAGTGGACCCGAGACGATTATATTCTGCCAACTATGGTCCAATGCTTAGGGCTCTGATAGGAGATCTAGAAAAGTGGACGGACAAACCTATATCTTGGATAGGACAGATTAATTCCGTAAAAATGAACATCCTCCCCCGCATTCTATTTTTATTTCAAGCATTACCGTCACAAAAACGCAACTGGTACCGCTACAAAGATCGATAGGGAATTTAATTTGGCAGAATAAGAGACACAGAATCGCCAGACAAGTTCTGTATAGACATAAAGACAGAGGGGGGTTAGGACTACGGAACCTATATTTTTATTACCTCGCTGCCCAACTAACCCAAGTGGCCATGTGGCACTCCCCGCTGGCAGAACGGAGATGGGTGGAAATTGAATCCATGATGGTGGGCCTGGATGTCCCCCAGTTTACGATGTGGGTCCCTAAGGAACATAGACTCATGATAAGGGTGACATGCCCGGCCATACTCAATTCGCTCCAAATATGGGACGCAAATAACACCAAATATGGGCTGGCACTGTCCCCCTCCCCTATGGCTCCAATACTTAGAAAACGAGAATTCCAACCTGGAATGACCCCCAGAGAATATAGAAACATAGAAAGAACCGGGTTACAACGGATATATCGAAACTATATCGAAACTGAGAAATTGTCAAATTTGAAGAACTCCAACAAGGTACTCACTTAACCCCCGCAGATTTTTTCAGATGATATGTCCAGATACGAGATTTCGCTAGAAGACCCCATATTAGAACTGCAGCCCAAGGAAAGCTATCTTTTTATGAGAGATTATGCTTGGATGGAACCGCACCCAAGGGTATGATCACCCTTCTATATGCTCACCTTAGTACTGAAAACAAAGAATGGGGTAGACTAACATATACCGATCAATGGGAGGCAGACCTGGGGGAGGTACTGGAAGGAATTGAGTGACAGTAGATTTGGGAAGTAAACAAAAATACTTCCATATGTGTCACACTCCAGGAGCAGGCATGGAAAACCATGTTTAGATGGTATACTGCTCCCGTAAAACTATATAAAATAAAAACAGACACGGATGATTGTGGAGGGGCTGCGGAACAAGAGGTACGTATATTCATATGTGGTGGGAATGCCCGAAGATACACAGTTTCTGGAAGTCAGTAGAGGACTTACTGAGACAGACGTTCGACAGACCCCTGGCTATGGACCCGTGGATATATTTGCTTAACAGATCCATCTAGGGGTGGACAAAAAAAGAGCAGAAACTGGTACACAAGAAAACTGTAAGTGCGCGCCGAACATTAGAAACTGCATGGCTCTCACCTGAGGGCACAGAGTTTCGGGAAGTGATAGCCAGGATAAGAGAATGTAGAATTATGGACGACTTGACAGCAAGGGTAAAGGGGACGACAGCGGCATTCCAGAGACTTTGGGAACCATGGGGCAACAGTATAGTGGGTTCAGGTGGAGACTGACAGGGATCCGAAAGTGACGCAGATATGGACTGGCCACAGAGATCCTCTCTAGCGGACTGGAATTAGGGGGCCTGCGGTCCTCCTCCCCTCCCCCTCTTCTCCCCCGCTCTCTCATTTCCTCCCCTTTTCCGCTCTACATATCCCCCTGACATTCCTCCTTCTCTTTCCTCTTCCTTCTTCTAATTTCATGTTTTTCCTTATATCTTCTTGTTTTTCTCTCTTTGCCCCTTGTTTTTCAGGGGTTTAATTTTAATTTTTCTCCCAGGCATGATTAATCCATTGGAGGAGCAAGGATGCCTAAAGGCAAGTTTAGTCCTCAAAAAGATAGGGCTCCTTATGTTAACAAATTGCCTGAATCGGTAGGAGGCAAGACCCAATGGGTTAAGGAATTGGCTTGTATTGTAAGATTATGTTGCATACTGTTCCTCTGAGAATGTTTTTTCATGTATTGGCTTCTGCGCGAGCATAAAAGTTTATGTACACTTGCTATACCTACCGAGTGAAAAATAAAGAATTGAAAAAAAGAATGAAATTATATATATAGAGATATATATATATATATATATATATATATATATATATGTATATATGTATAAATAAATAAAAATAATACGAGATATACATATTCCCATATACATTACATAAATAATTTCATAAATATACACGTAGACTTCAAATATATAAATGTATATATATTTAAATTCTACATGCATATTTATGTAATTTTATTGATTGCAATTTGGGGAACCTGCCTGACAACCCAGGCCAAAAGTCCAAAGCATTTAATTTGCTAGCACTATAATTAACCCTGTAACTTTCCAAGACACCATAAAACCTGTATATAGGGGGGGTACTGTTTTACTCGGTAGACTTCGCTGAACACAAATATTAGGGTTTCAAAACAGTAAAACATATCAAAGCGATGATATTGTCAGTGAAAGTAAAGTTTTTTGCATTTTTCACACACAAACTGGACTTTCACTGATGATATCATGGTTGTGATAAGTTTTACTGTTTTGAAACAATAATATTTGTGTTCAGTGAAGTCTACCGAGTAAAACAATACCCCCGATGTACAGGTTTTAGGGTGTCTTGGAAAGTTACAGAGTTAATTATAGTGCTAGCAAATTAAATTCTCTGGACTTTCGGCCTGGGTTGTCAGACAGATCCCCCAAATTACATAAAATAAAATAACTTGAGTAAAAATATTACATAAATATGCACATTAAATCTAAACACTTCACTGTGATAAAGTGACCAAACCATTTACATAACTACATGAATAATTTCATAAATATACACGTAGACTTCAAATATATAATATATATATATATGTCTGAGATTATCGGAATCAATGATCTATGCCTATATATATATATATATATATATATATATATATATATATATATATTTATATATTTGAAGTCTACGTGTATATTTATGAAATTATTTATGTAGTTATGTAAATGGTTTGGTATTTATGTAGTTATGTAAATGGTTTGGTCACTTTATCACAGTGAAGTGTTCTGGGATACATGCCCCCTCACTCCCATTTAACCCTGCTGCTAAAAACGTTTAGAAGAACGGCAATGTTTTCATTACAGGGTCTAAGTGCCTATGGAGGCTGTCACTCACAGCCACTAGAGGCGCTTCTGATGAAATAACAGATCGAAAACATTAGGCATAGATCATTGATTCCGATAATCTCAGACATGGAGGTGGGCCAGCCACAGAGATCGGCACTGCGAGGAGGAAGAGATGCCAGCATATTAACATTATAGGGGACACTTTTCCCAAACAGGGCCAATCGTGTTGGAGGAGGTTGGGGGAATAGGCAGAGCTGGGATGCGAGTGTTCAACAAGGCGATGTGATGTGGCTCTGGCAATCAATAGAGGAGATTTAGTAAGTGACTGTGGGTCATTGAATGGTTTCCCATTTTTGCTAAAATTAGGTGTGTTTTTCTTTATCAAATAGTGATATTACGTAAACTGATGTGCATACATTTCCAATTAATGTGAATTCCCCAAACTGCCAGTATATGCTCTCAGTGCATTCTAAAAATATAAAACAAAATATCTAGCATAAGCATTAGTAATAAAGCCATGGGCAGCTTCCCTACACATATGAAAAAGCAGCTTTTTTTAAGCAAACTATGATGTAACTTGCATTGCAAATACAGTCCCAAGTCAGAACATTCTACATGTATGATTAGAAATGTTCTAATGCTAAATATATCAATAGTTACTGCAGGGAAGGGGGTAGACGGAGGGGGGCACAAAAAAATTCAAGCATCTGGCATCTATAATTTCCATGTGTTCTGTGCATGGCTCAGTTAACATAGTGCCTGTTGGAGCTGTAGCTCCAGGCCTGTGTCCATGGAATAGGTCCATTGTTCCTCAAGAAAATGTGTATATAGTTCAAAAGAGAAGTGTCCCTTTAAACCTTTAGAATATGTGATTACTCATCGAACAATGAATTAAAGAACTCCACATGAAAGAAGATTGTTTTGGCACTCAGAACTTATAATATTCAAAGAGAGAGATGTTGTCTCACTATATAAAAAGAAAATTGAAAATATAAGAAATTGATAAACCGTTCAGAGGTAAAAAAAAATTCCAGCTGTTTAAGAGATGGTTTGTAAAGCTAAGGCCTTACTGGAAGATTTGTCTATTAAAAAACAAATTACAGTAATGCTGTACCTTGTCACCAAGGGTACAAGCCACAGCATATAGCAATGTATTTTTCTTAAGAAGTGTTATACGCAGACAGGAAACACATTCAACAGCTTGTGAAGATATACCACAATGTTTGCAAATATGCATTCTTACAACAGACTATGAGTCTGTAAGATATATGTGATAATCCAATGTAGGAATGCAGTGTAAGGCTAGGAGATTATACAGGGCAATCAACTGTGTCACCTCATGTGTCAATCACCAATTATTATTCTGAAACCATTTTGTTGGTTGTCATATAAACAAAATAGCTTCTGTCGTATTTATGTTTGCATTCAGGAAGAGCTGATACCGAGAATGCTAGGGTTAACACCTTGATAGTGCATTCATTATTTCAATGTTTTAGACAGAATAGAAATAATGTTTAATTTAACAAGTAACACTTTAAACAATTCACTAAGGTGCATAATGTAAGTTGAAGGGGCTCTTCACGCTGTAGCTGACACATACTTTTTTTAATTCATTATACAGTGAATGCATTAAAAAGTGTAACAAAATATTGACAAATAAAAAGTTTCTGCAGTTACTATAAATTATCAGGATGTGCAGCTTCTGAAGTGAGCTCTGGACCAATTTAGAATTGACCAAACTAGAAGTGACTCAACTCTCAAGTTTTAATAACTTTATAGAAAAAGCAGGGATTTGGACAATTCTACTCTCAGTTGTCAGATTACTGCTGTCGAAAGCTAAAAGCTGGAGTTCAACTCCCAGAAACCCTGAGAGCCACGACATCACATGTAGAAGTATTTGTGGAGCAATGCTGCAGGTTTGAGAGCGGTATCCAAAGGGCAGGCATATAAAGAAAAACTAATTACTATTAAAAAAAAAAATAAAGACGTTATTTACAATTTCAACTTGAATGGTTACGTACATGTATTTTAAGATCTTCAATGGTTCCTTATATGTACATATAACCTCTTCATGCTGTTGAGTAGCATGTGGAATGAAGAAAAATTGATAAAGAAACCAAGATCCTTCCTTGATCAATTCATTATTTTAGAAAAGTTCCTATGTACTGCCTTTCAACATCTAGAAGTGATTCAGAAAAACATTGCTGACAATGTTAATGATATTAGTGACACTACTATCAAAATGTTTCAATGGTTTTGTTATGGGCAAATTTAAATATTACAAGTTTTAGAATGAAATGTTGTATTTCTTAAACTGTGTACTTTGTCTTTAAGAGATATTGCAAACTGACCAGGTGTTAGAAATGGAACATATTGTTTTTCATAACTGTTTCTTTAAGCAATAACCTCAGTGCATAATATGTTTGCGCCATTTTGTCCCAGACGAATTACAATAACAATAATGCATAAACAAGCTTCAAGGCTATACTACGACACTTGCAGTACACAATATACTGTGGTAACCCCAAGTTAATGGAACTTCCCCAAATCCGGGAATCTCCCACGACTGTACACTTACGACTTAGTATAAACAACAGATAACCTATTCAGACTTTAAGATGCCATCTTGAACTAAGTCAGGAAAATTTCCATGACGTATACTCCCCTTTAAGGGAGGTCCTAAATTGAATAAAGTAAAAGAAGTGTTACGTTTTCATATTTGAACTACGGTAACCTAAAATGAAGACAGAGGTATAAATAGGTGTACTTTTAAATGTTAAGATACAGAGGAGAGACTTGGAGACAGACGCTGCTCCATCTTAAAATGACAGAGAGGCTGACATGATCACATGTTCAGAAGGGTATGTTAACCTATTAATGATATTTGCAAGCATGTAATTTAATCTTATAAACTCTGCTATAATGGATTTTATATTTTTATATAATAAATATGCAAAAGACAAAACTATTGCTTCCAAGACAATCCTTATTTTATATTGTATTCTCAATTATTTATATATGTTAAATAGAGGATCTCTTACACTATATAAAATTATGGCTAAGATATCTGTATGGTTAGCCCTACTAAGTTCTATGCTTTCAGACATTATAGTGGTAAATAAGGGAACCACCAGCGGTTACAGTTTGTCTGATGTGCATTACATTTGAAGCAATGCTTCTCTATAGAGAGAAGATTATCGATTTAGGGTTTCTCTTGTTTGTGTAATTTGATCTTTGCTGATAGTTTTATTCCTAAAGATTGGTGCTGTTCTGAAATTGTTTAATTAAATTAGGAGCTGAGAAACCAGACTTTGTTTTCAATATAAACATAAACAATACTGAAATATTACTGATACAACGTTTTCTGTTTCTGTGAATCTACCACTCGTCGGTAATAAAATAGACCATATTATCATCACTTTCATTTGTGTGAAAATGTGGGAAATGAAAGGTAAGTGTATCAATGGCAAGTAATGTAACTGATGTGAAACAGGGGGTTGAACTACTTGGCTTCATTGTATAATTATCCAAGAATAAAATACACTATACAATAGGACATTTTCAGATGTCCGCAGTTAAGTTGTGAAACAACTGAGGCATGGTTAGTGAGGGTTTGTATTGGTTGCATAGTCTGGAAGATAATGGTCCTGTACAGCGCTACGGAATCTGATGGCACTATACAAATAATAAAATAATAATAATAATATGCAAGTAAATGACACTACAGGAGCATGAATGCAGTGGATGAGTTTGAAACTAATTTGGCAAAGACCA